TCATATTTTACAAACTTCATCATTTATATATATAAATAAACAATTTTCAAAACATCCATTTATTTTGACCCCCAAAATAAATTTGTCAACATTATCCAAGGATTTTCAACATCTTTCAAAAGCCTCTATTTCTAGGTTTTCTCACCAAAGCCACTCATCTCCAAAATATTTAGAAGGATCTCACCAAAATCATCTTTCTACAATCAATATAATTCAAAGCCCTCAATTTCCATTTTAAAAGGAAAAGAAAGTAAACTCACTTTCAAAATTACTCTTCTTCTTGAATCAACAATCAATTTTCAAAACTAATCAAAGGATGATTTCGAAAATCATCTAGATCTTGCAAAAACATATATATAACTCGAAGGAAATCCCTACCTCAAGTTTGAAGAAGAAACGAGTTAAAAACCCCAAAATCAACGACGATGAAATTCGATCTCCACCGCACACAACGTAGCCTTCATCTAGATAACCAACTTTGATGAAGAATTTGGATCTAAATCCCAATAGATTTGGAGAAATCAAAGATCTTGTGAGGTTTTTGGTAGGAAATGTATAGAGAAGGAAGAGGAAATGTTTCTAGAGAGAGAGAGATATATGTATACAAAAAGTGACATTCAATCAGCTCAAAGAGAGAAGAAAAGAGCAAAATTTGGATCTACCTAACTTCCCGCACCTTACTCTCGCACCTACCTCTTTAGCAATGTGCAAGTTGTGCTCTCCCCTGAAATCCGTACGTGTGGCTTGCTCTCCCGCTCGAGCGGACAAGCAACTTCGAATGCATTTTGCATTTTTGTTTTGGGCAGCTCGACTCCCGACCGGCCCAGTCGAAGTGGCAAAACATGAAAGAAGGATCGAAACCGGGATCGCTATAACCTTTCCCCCTTAAAGAATTTTGTCCCCGAAATTTCAAATCAAACTACTCAAACAAAGGGGTTTCTAGCAATCAAAGCCACGCTATTTCATTTTCGAATCACAATACTAACTCTCAACCAAATTCCACCATTTCCACCATGGTTATCACATTAACAATAACCTCCCAAATATGCATAAACATGAAATTTCCCCAAAAGTAATGGCAACTTTAAGCAACCTTATGCTTAAAATAACAACGCACATATCAACATGTGGTTA